GACCGCCGTCTGCCACGTCCGGCCCTCGCCTCTTCCCTCGCCGCCTCGCCAGCGCCAGCCTTTCCTAAAGCGCCCTTTGCCTGGTCTCGGCGGTGCAGGGCCTGCCCTCGTAGCTGGCGCGTGACCCCTTTTCTCTGAAACTGGGAGGCTGCTGCAAGATGTCACCCCACACCGGCTGCGGCTCTTTCAGGGAGTCTCCCCTTTTCTGCTTCGGATTTCAGAGCGTTTGGGTTCATCTCCCCTGAGCGGATGCTTGGAAGGCATTCCTTTCTTCACGGGGCCTCTGGCCTCCATTTGGCGCTCGGGCTGCGAAGAGCTTTAGGAGGCACGAAAGCTCAGAGGGGAGAGCCAGTCTGGCATAGTGGTTAGGGCACCAGGCTAGAAACCGGGAGGCCGGGAGTTCTAGTCCCGCCAGGAGGCCAGGGCAAGCCGCTTCCAAAAACCTTGCCAAGAAAACGGCTGGGACTTGCCCAGGCAGCACCAGGAGTCAACGCTGACTCAAAGGCACATAATAATAATAACAACAACACAACCCCCCCCCCAAGGGTTGGTTGTGGGCCTGAATTTCAAAATCTGGACCCTTGCAGCCTCCTGAGAGCACACACAGATTTGGGGTTGTCTGTAGGAAAGCAAAAGCCAAACCTTTCACCCCGAGGGCACCCTTGCACTGCCAGTCGGGCGTTCCTGGGTCTGCAGCAAAGTGGTTTGACCGTGTCCTGGGTGCCTGAGGAGCACCAGTCCCTGCCCCACACAAGGCCTGGCATTAAATGCCCTGTGCTATTAAAGTTTCCCTCCTGCCAGCAGAGATTTCCACCCCAGGTGCCTGCTGGCAAACTGGATAATCTTCTTTGCTCCTTGTCCGGCTTTCGGTGCCCAGCGTGCAAGAGCCTCAGAACCTTCCAACCGTGATTTTGCTTGGCCTGGCTGTTGACTCAAGCCCTGACCTAACAGAAGGTCCATTGTCTGCCTTCCACCTCCCCTCACCCCAGCCGGCCGGCCTGCGTCATTCAGGAGAGCCAGTTTGGATGTTCTGTGCGAAGAGTGGTGCAAGGACAGATTAAGGAGTCCACGCTCCTGGCTTGTCTGCCGCCACCAAGACCCAATTTGGCTTCTTGAAACGCCTTCCACAGAGGGCTGGGCGGCCGAGCAGCTCTGGGGTTGGCGCAGCCGACACTTTTCAGGAACGTGACCAGAGTTACCAGCCTTTCAATGGCCACGGTGGTGCCCTGGCTCCAAATTTTAGATCTCTCCCCAAATTACCCCACTTTTTGAGAAGGTTCTCATATTCTGCTTAGCTAAGCCAGTTAAAAATCTAGTGGCTGATTCACACAATGTGCTAAGCTTGGTTGCCGGTAGCCATTGTTCGTTCTTTTTCCCCCAGCATATTGTTCAGATTCAACTGATTTGGTTAGTTTATGACTCAGTGTATTGTGCCAAACTAAAAACTGGGCTAATTCACTACCCAAGTTAAGTGGATTGTGTATTTACAGAAGTAGGAATATGACCTACTTAGGTCCAAATTGGGGAGGGGGCGTGAAAAAAAGGAATTTCCTCACTTGCCACAACACATACCTTGCCTCCTCACTTCCCAGGTGATGCTCTCACATGCATTAACCATGCTAGTTGTGAATTCTGAAGTTACGCCCAAATATGTCCAGAAGGACCTAGTTTGGTTTGTTCATTGCAGTGGCCTACCAGGTGACTGCACCTGTCCCAGCTTGTGCCAGGCCCAGCCCAAGAACAGCAGGGAAACAGTCCAGCCAAGTTCAGTTCTTTTATTGCTTACGCCCTGTAGACCAGACCTTGCCAGACTAAACCTGTATTACTCTATACCCTGGGAGATTCTAGGGAGTGGCTATCCTCAACCTCTTCCTCTTCCCACGATTCAGCTCCACACTGCGTTGTCTCTTATCTGGCCCCACTTCCTGGAATGTGCTCCCTCCTTCCTGAGAACCTGCTGCATTACTCTAGTCCATCACATCTTGGCTCGTTTCCAAAGAGCTAAGGAGAAACAGACCTGGTTAGTGTTTGGATGGGAGACCACCAGAAAATCCCAGGGCTGCTGAATAGTTTGGCAAGTCAGAAAACGTTCTGGAAGACGACGATAGCAAACCACATTGTTGCCAAGAAAACTATACAGTAGAGATTTGCCAGAATTCAGCTTGACTTCGCTTAACTTTATAGTCTGCTCAAGAGGGCACGATTGATGGTCTCTCAACAGCCCTGCGAGGTGGGTTGAGCTAAGCGAGAGCGATTGGACCCAAATCACCTAATGAGCTCTGGGACTGACTGTGGAGTAGAACAAGGCTTGGGAGTGACTGACTACATGCCCCAGATGGAGAAAGGTGGCCATGGAGCTTCTTGCCTTGAGTACGTTGCTAAAAAGGCGCAGTATGATTTTGAAATAAGGTCAGCAGCTCAGATTCGGGGTTGTGGGGTGGTACTTAGGACGGTCTTTTTCCAGCTGCAGGTTCTGGCATGGGTGGGTACCAGTTTGGGCTAGTGCTTGAGGCAGCTGCCCCCTTGGCATCCAGCTGGGTGGCCTTCTGAGGAGAGCCGGGGATCCTGCAATCCTAGAGGGCCACATCCACATGGCTGCCTCCGTCCCAGGCGGCCGGCCAGCCATTTGCCCCTTTCGTTTTGGGAGCGCACGTGGCTTGTACGGTTAATTTGTGGTTCAGTGTGTTGTGCAAATTCAGAAAATTGGGTTAATTGAGTAAATTATGGTTCAGTTACCAGTGTTAACTGCATTATGCAATCACAGCCAATGAAATTTGGCATCAAGAATAGCTGAGTCTGGGCTGTGTAAATTATGAACATCGATATAGTTTGCCTGTTTTTTTTTAAGCTACTGACTGGCAGTCGCTTGTCAGGGTGCTAGCAGACCCATCAAGTTATCCCAGGATGGTTCCATCTGTCCTGTGAATGGGACCGGCCTCTCTCAGTCTGCGTCCCTCCATTGCGGCTTCCAGCAGCCCTGACTGTTGTCCGTGCATGATGGGAGTTGCAGTCCAAAATATTGGAAGGGGCTTCAGTGAGGGAAGGCTGAATCAACCAGCATTTGTATCTTGGGGAAGCTCCTGCTACACGCCTATCCAATAACCAAAGTTCTCTGGGTCGATGGTGTGGCACTAAGTCCCTTTGAATACAACGAGGGTGAAACTTCCAAGCAAATGCATCGGCTTGTGCCGCACATAGCCAGCATCTCCTTATATTTGGCATCTCCGATTCCCAAGGCCATTCAATGCCTGCGTGATCTCGGAACAGAGAATTTGTTCTGTCTTCAGCCGCGCTAGCTCCCTTGCGATCGTCAGGTGTAACTTATCGCCAGCTGCTTCCTGCCTGCCAAAGGCAACCCATCTTTTACCACCATTTCTCCTGTTCCCTGGATTTTTCATGCATGCACAGAATTGTGACTAAAATCTCCTTTCCTCAAAGGTTTAGAGTAGAGTAGGTTACCAAGGCATTACATTAGCAAGTGGAAAGTTAGCATTTGTGATTGATTGCACACGCACCCTTCATCTTGGGCTTGGAAGATTAAATGGTCGGTAGCTCTGACGTTCCTGGTACGTGTTTTCCCTGCCAAGGGACAGACTGAAATCCAGGGCTTTCTGCCAGGTCTGGATTTAGGTGATACGGATGGCTGGTGGGGTTTCTGGATCTGTGAAGACGGGGGTGAGGAGCTTGCTACTCTGGCTCTCTAGGACCATCTCAAGATGTTCAAGACATCTTGGCGCTGCAGGGAAAATTCTTCCTGTCTCCTTTTCCTCCTCCTGTGCTTAAAACTATAATATGTAATTAAATAGCTTATCACTGTCTGCCTTTTACTAATGCCCCAAATACGTTATCTAATAGATTATTTTAGCCTAACCTTAAAGTTGTTATCTATTTTTTTGTTTTTATTTCACCCTTCTGCCATCGACAGCCACTCAGTTTTACCCCACCCACCCAGATTTTTTTGTCTCTTGCAGGTGGACGATGCCATGCTGATGTTTGACAAGACAACTAATCGGCACCGAGGTGAGAGGGACTCGGGGCTTGGGTCTAGGGGGCTGCCCAGCTGTGTGCCCTCATCTTGCACCCTCTGTCATCACTTGCATCCCTAATTAAGAGCCTTCTCCCGCAGAAGACTCGGGGTCCCTCCATTGGGTGGCACAAGCAAGCAAAGAGGCAGCTCCTGCCTTCTTGTCCACCTGCCTGAGGCCAGCGGGGCTCCCATATTCTGTGTGTTCAGCACCATGAAACAGAGCCCAAGAAAACTAACAGGAAAGGCCAGGGGCTGCCTCACTTCCTTGCCATGATGCCTTTCCCAGTTTCCCTCTAGTGGAACCTGGTAACAAAGAGGGGCCATCTCAGAGGCCATCTAGTCCAACCACTTGCAGGATCTGTTGAAGTGTTTTAGGCAGATGGTTATCCAGCCTTTCTGAAGACCTCCAGTGAGGGGGAACCTGCAGCCTATTCCACTATTGGCAGTTTGGGAAAATCCTGGTAATTTCTTGAGTCTACTTCCCTGTAGTTTCAACCTATTTGTTCTGGTCCTGCCCTCTGGGACAACAAAGAAAAGCTACAGTCCATGAAGGGTGACAGCCTTTCAGATAGTTAATGCTGCTACCGTATCTCCCCTCACTCATCTTTTCTGTAGACTACACATACCCAGATGCTTTAATAGTTCTTCATGGGGCTTGTTTCCGGACCTGCCACCATCTTGATAGGCCTCCTCTGACCTTGCTCCAATTCATCACAGTCCTGTTTGGTCCCAGAGCTAGACGCTGGTCTCCAAATGGTGTCTGATCAGGACAGAGTGGAAGTGTCAGGCCCAGCCCAAGAATGACAGCGAGGCAGTCCAGTCCAGTAGCGTCCCTTTATTAGCTTGCACCTAACAGACAGAATCTCGCCAGACTAAACCTGTGCTAAAGCAACTAGTGGCTATAACCTGTGAGACTCTAGGGAGGGGCCGGTCTCAGCTTCTTCCTATTCTCACGGTCCTGCTGCAGGCTGAGGAAGCGCTTGCTCGGTAACCTCTCCAGGAATGCTCCCCCTCCCTCCTGATAACCTTGACCCTCCATTCCAGTATCCTCCTCGCACTTGCCTTCCATTACAGGAAGGGAGCAACTGGTTTCCCTTGATCTTGGCTCTATGCTCCCAAGATAGTATTTGCCCTTTTAACAGTTGCATCATAGTGCTGAGTCATGTTCAACTGTGATCTGCTAGAATGCCCAGATCCTTTCCCCAAGTAATACTGCCAAGCCAAAACTTCTGTGGCTACCCAGATAGAGAAATGCACTGGCTTGTCTAAATCTTTTGAATCTTCTTTTTCACTTTTGAGACAGAGTTTTGTGTCATTTGCAAATGCGGTGATCTTTCCCTCAACTCCTTCTTCTAGGACAGTAATAAAAACATTGAAGAGCACAGGAATCAGGACAGTGCCTGTGGCTCTCCACTTGATGCTACTCCCTAAGCTGATGTGCAGCCATTTATGAGTATCTCTGGGCACACTCATTCATCTAGTCATGAATACTTCTAACAGTTCTATCGCCTGGTCCATATTTTATCATTTTATCAATCATGAGTTTGTTGAATGATTTGCTGAGGTCAAAGAACGCTATTTCCATGGGATCCCCCAATCACTTAAGCTGGTAACCCTATCAAGAAAGAGATACTGTTAGTCCAGCTGATTTGTTTGTGGCAAGCCATGCCAGCTCTTGGTCATGGCTGCAGTCCTGTGCAAGGGCTCACAAATACACTTGAGACCCTTGCCTAGGATTTACATCAAGCTGACTGGTCTGTAATTGCCCCGGTCCTCCTCCTTCCCCTCTTGGAAGAGATGGGCAATATCTGCTCTCTTCATCCTTTGGGACCTTGCTGGTTACAAGAGTTTTCGCAGACTGCAGTTGACAGTCCTGTGATCACATCCTTCAGTACCCTAGGATGTAATTCATCTGGCCCTGGGGATTGTTAGGTGTTCTTTTGCCCTCTGCTTGCTTGTCTTAAGCTACAACTCCCTCCTTCTACCAGTGGCACAACAATGGCCAGCTATGGCTTTGCTTTTCTTCTGACAAGGGAAGACATTCTGCCTTCTTGCCATCACCTGTTATAAATTCATCCCTTTCTCCTTGGAACAGACCTACAGCCTCTTTGTCTTCCCTTTTCTAGCTGAGGAACTCTGAAAAAGCCTCCTTTGTTCTTTAGGGCATTTCTCACAAGACTCACCTCATTCTGAGCTTCAGCCCCTCCTTCCATTTCCTACACATGTCTCTTTTTCTTTTACAGAGCGTTTTAGAAAGCTCTGTGTGTCTCTTTCGATGCCTCCCATTTTTCCTTCCAGCAGGAATTGTTTGCAATTGCACCTTCTGTATCTTATTTCACAGGATTTCCCATCCTCCCCAGATGCTTTTCTTCTTCAGGTTCTCAAGCCATTAGATCTGATTTACTCTCCAAAATCAGCTCTTCTGAAGTCCAGTACAGTATACAAGTCTGATTCTTCTCTGTTCCTCTATCCCTTGAAATCATAAACTCAAAGATAACACAGTTATTTCCTCCCAAGGTTTCAGTCATCAACTAATTCTTCTGTGTAGGGAAGGTTTAAATCCAGATAGAAGACCACCCTTATTTCTTTGTCACCTTCTGAAAAAATGAAATTGTCAGAGAGAGAGGACCAGAACTGGTTTGACCTCTGACTCTTTGCAGAGTTACAGTGGGGCAAAAAAGTATTTAGTCAGCCACCAATTGTGCAAGTTCTCCCACTTAAAAAGATCTCAACTATGAGAGACAAAATGGGGGAAAAAATCCAGAAAATCACATTGTCTGATTTTTAAAGAATTTATTTGCAAATCATGGTGGAAAATAAGCACATTGTCTGATTTTTAAAGAATTTATTTGCAAATCATGGTGGAAAATAAGCACATTGTCTGATTTTTAAAGAATTTATTTGCAAATCATGGTGGAAAATAAGCACATTGTCTGATTTTTAAAGAATTTATTTGCAAATCATGGTGGAAAATAAGCACATTGTCTGATTTTTAAAGAATTTATTTGCAAATCATGGTGGAAAATAAGCACATTGTCTGATTTTTAAAGAATTTATTTGCAAATCATGGTGGAAAATAAGCACATTGTCTGATTTTTAAAGAATTTATTTGCAAATCATGGTGGAAAATAAGCACATTGTCTGATTTTTAAAGAATTTATTTGCAAATCATGGTGGAAAATAAGCACATTGTCTGATTTTTAAAGAATTTATTTGCAAATCATGGTGGAAAATAAGCACATTGTCTGATTTTTAAAGAATTTATTTGCAAATCATGGTGGAAAATAAGCACATTGTCTGATTTTTAAAGAATTTATTTGCAAATCATGGTGGAAAATAAGCACATTGTCTGATTTTTAAAGAATTTATTTGCAAATCATGGTGGAAAATAAGCATCTTTTTAAGTGGGAGAACTTGCACAATTGGTGGCTGACTAAATACTTTTTTGCCCCACTGTATATTCCTAGCAGATGTCAGAATAATCGAGTCTCCCATTATCACTATTGCATGCTTCTTTCAAAGACTGGTGATCTGATCCAGAAAGACCTCATCTGTATCTTCTGCCTTCCTGAGTAATGTCTTCCCATACTCTTCTCTTTTCTAAGCTAAACAATGGTTCCTCCTGGTTTTTCTTCCATGCCCCTTACTATCTTAGTTGCTCTCTTCTGGACATGCTCCAGTTTGCCAGCATCTTTCCTAAAATGTGATGCACGGAGCTGGATACGCTATTCTAGGTGCAGTTTGACCAATTCAGGATGGAGAGAATCAGCGACTTCTCTTGATCTTGACACCACGTGTGATTCACCAACACACCCAAATTCTTTTTGCATGTCCTTTTTCTGCAGTACTGTCTCCCCTATCCTGAACTCATGCCTTTGTTTTTTCTGAGTGAAATAAAGCACTTTACATTTGTCCCTGTTGAAATTCATCTCGATGGTCTCTACCCATTATTCCAATTTGTGAAGATCCTCCTGAATTCTGATACTCTCCTCAAAGTATTTGCTATTACTCGTATCTTTGTGTTATCTGCAGATTGTAATCGTATTTTCATCCAAGCCATTTATAAAGACACTGAGCAGTACAGATCCTAGAATGGAACCCTGCAGTACATTTCCAACGTGATGCAAAGCCAGCGATGAGCCTTCATTGGATATGATTGTTCAGCCAGCTCTGCATCCCTGTATTGGTAGCATAGCCCAGCCCACATTCTGTCATCTTCTCTGCTAGAAACTCAAGGGAGATTTTGTTGAAGGCTTTGCTGAAGTCAAGGTGCATGAAGCTCACTGCATTCCCACAGTCAAATAAAGTGGTCACATGATCAAAGGAGGAGGCCAGTTGATTTGGCAACCCAACCCATGCTGATTCCTGTCAGGAAATGCTGTCATGTCTAAGTGCCCACACATGACTGCTTAATAGTTCCAGAGTTTTGCCCGGTGGTAGCATCAGGCTGACAAGTCTGTCGTTCTGAGTCTTCTTTTCCCCCACCAACCTCTGAATCAGAACATTTGCCTCTGGAACTATGCCTGTCCTCCATGTTTTCTCAAAAATCACAAGAAGGGGCTCCAAGATGACATCCACAACCTCCTTTAAAATACCTGGATGTAATTGGGCTGGTCTTGGAGACTTAAACTTGTTAATGGTCTCCACAGGCTCCCTGATTATTTCTACTTTCTCTAGGCTGCCTCTCCCTCCTTGTTTCAGTTCCGTTTGATCCATATGAACACACTTGTCTTTTGAGGAGAAGTCCCAAGTGGAGTAGGAGTTGAGGAGCTTTGCCCTCTCCCCATCTTACCATCTCCTTCTAGGCATGACCCCACTCTTCCTTTTTCTTTCTTTTACTGTTGACATGGCCCCAAAAGGGTTTTGTTGTTGTTGTTGTTGTTGATTTTAACTTCCCTTGCAAACCTAAGTTCATTTTGTATTTTAGTCTTTCTGTCCTTCTGCAGTTAGTTATCAGCTACTTGTAGATTCACATCCTTGGTGATTTCACCCATCTGCCATTTCTCATAGAAGTCCCATTTAACTATTAAATCAGTCCAAAGCTCCTTATTTATCCTTAGTAGTTTCCAAAGTTGCCCCTCCCCACCATTGTTTCTTCTCATTGGAATAGTGTGTAATTGCACTTGCAGTATCTTATTTTTCAGAAGTTCTGAACTTTCCCATGCTTGCATTAATCTGAAGATTTCTACCCAAGGATTCTAGTTCCTAGTACTTCTCTAAGCTTGTTGCATTTTGAGGATCTTGCACTGTTCACTGAGCTGGTTTTCCAGGTGAAGAAGAACTTGAAATCTCCCATTATTACAGTGCCTCTCCTGAAAGCTCTGTCATCTGGTCCAGGAGGGCATGATCCAGAACTTCTACTTGTCTTCATGGTCAATAGCACATCCTCACAATCGAATTGTCTTGTTCTCCTTTTTTTGTATTCTTACCCAGATGCTCTTGACTGAACTTCCATGCTGAAATTTTGGAACTCTGTACGTGTATACATTTCCTTTTCTTATAATGCTACTCCTTCTCCTCTTTTACACAATCTCTTCCTTTTGAATACGTACTGCCTTTCAGTCCTTGCATTCCACCCTTGCTTCAGTTATGCTTCCTTTTTATATATATTTTTATTAAAAAGTTTTAAAAGAAAGATAAAAACAAAAACAAACTAATATAAAATAAGGAAGACAAAGAAAAAGGAAGAAATCAAAGAGAAAGCTAAAAGTGCAAGAAAAGAAAAAAGTAAGGAAAAATAGAAAAGAAAGAGAAAAAGGTACAAAGAAGTGGTTTCTGGTAATTTTTGGTATTTTTCACGACAGTTATATTTTAACCTCTCTAAAGCTACATCATGATTCTCTTCCTTCTGTAGTCTATCCTGTCTAATCATCAAAGCCATAAATCACACGTTCATTTTCTTCATTTTTACGCAAAAAGTCCATAAGGGATTTCCAGTCACCAATAAATGTAGATATTATCTTTCCTCCAATCAAAGAAGTTAATTTGCCCATCTCAGCAAAGTCTGTCAATTTCACCAACCATTCCACCGTAGTGGGTAGTGTCGACTCTTTCCATCTTTGTGTATATAATAATCTTGCTGCAGTAATCATATATTGAAATAATCTTAGACTTTTTTCTAACTGTGTATCCATCGATCCTAAAAGGAAAATTTCTGGTTTCGCTTCAGTGATGCCTCATAAGTCTTATTCACCTTCCTGCATTAAAGCTTCTAGTTCTTCTTTCTCCCCATGTTCTGTGCATTT